CGCCAATTGTCAGTAGGTTCCCAGAAGAATGTTAGTGAGATTGGGGCTGCTGAGCACTCAGAAGTATTTATAGTATCCTCTATTGTCTCTCCTCTGCTGCGGCATTTTTATTACTAAAATTTTGTTTTAGTGTCATTTTCCATGCTAGAATTCAAGGAAAATAAATGTTAAGATCATAAGACCTGGTTCTGGCCTGAGTTCTGTTATTACTCTGTTGTGTTGTGGGAATCTCCCAGCTATAATTTTCACATCTATAAAATAAGGACTATACCTATAACATTGGTTCTTTCAGAATCTGTTGACAAGCAATGGACCCAATCTCTCCCCAGGAAAAAAAATGTGCAGACATTGTTTTATACAAATTTATCTCCTCTCAACTCATCTTGTACATAGTCATATCCAAGATGAGTTATCATTCTGGTATCTATAAAGCCAAACCTTAAGGTTCCTGTTAATTTCTTCTCTGCCTTACATCTTCCCTACTTTTGCCACCAAAGTTAACAATAATTGTTAATGAGGGTGAAGAGTATTTATTGAATGAATACCTGCTGAGGATCAAATATTGATTTACGTTCTGGAGTGTAACCTTGTGTAAGGTAGGGCTTGGTCTATGAGGTAGAAACACTATGTGTGATACTGAGTAAGTAATTTATTTTAGGAATTAGACCTTCCTCTATTATAGGCAGTCATGAAAAAGTTCACAGGAGTCTTTACCTCTATGTCTGGTGGACTCGAAATCATGGTAGGTCAGCAGTTGGGAGGAAAAGTTGTATCTGAAGCAGCGGGGGTAAGGACAAACAGAACTTGTGCAGGCAACCTGGAAATCATAAAATCAATGGCATACATGATCTACAGAAGAAGGTACTGTCCTTTGCCATGAAGCTGCAAATGTGGCTGGCCCTGGACTTGGAGAAGCTCTGGAATGGAATCTGGCAGGGCCTAGAGAAGCTGTTGGTTCAGCTGGTCTCTACCAAAGCATGAACCAGAATCAGCAATGATCCTTGTGAGCTGCTGCAGCCATTGATGCAATACACTGATCAATGGGGATGAGAGGCTGCTGACACATGTATGCCTCTGAATCTTGCACAATCCTCTCTTATGCCAACCCCAGTGAAAAGCGATACAGGGGATTCTGGGAATTGTGTTTCCTACTAAGCTAACTGGACACAATATAAATTTACCACAAACATGAACAACACATGGTCCTTCCATCAAGTCTAGGGATGAAGGTTACAAGTAAAAACAAATAAATGCAATAAAGGGCATAATGCAGATTCATTTCACTAGAGTAGATGGGGCATAAGGAGAGCGGCCAAACCTTCTGGAGAGAAGTGAGATTTCATAGAAGGGAAAACTCTAAGGACATTGTAGACAGAGGAAAATGTGAGAGACAGGAAACCAAGGGCTGACAATCATGGCATTTTTAAAGAACCAGAAATAGTTAATAGGGACCAGAGCCTGGGGACAAAGGTGGGAAGACAAAGTTGGAGAAAATATGTAAGAACAAGACAATAGAGGGTTTCATAGGCCATATTAATATGCTAAGAAGTTAACCATGAATATACCTGATTCTGCTTTATGGTGGTTGATTTGAATTTTATATATTTTTTTTTCTTTCTTTTCTTTTTCTTTTTTTTTTTTGGGGGGGGGGGCGGGGTTTTGGTTTTGTTTCCCAGGCTGGGGGGCAATGGCGCGGTCTCGGCTCCCCGCAAACCCCCGCCTCCTGGGTTCAGGCAATTCTCCGACCTCAGCCTCCTGAGTAGCTGGGATTACAGGCACACGCCACTATGCCCAGCTAATTTTTTGTATTTTTAGTAGAGACGGGGTTTCACCGTGTTGACCAGGATGGCCTCGATCTCTTGACCTCGTGATCCACCCACCTCGGCCTCCCAAAGTGCTGAGATTACAGGCTTGAGCCACCGCGCCCGGCCCTGAATTTTATATTGTTATATTTTAAAATTGTTTTAATAGCTGCAATAGAAGGAGGAACCCTTCACGAATATGTAAGAAACCATATTGGAATACATGAAAGATGACCGACACAATTAACGTATGTGGCCAAATTCCCATCCTTTTGCACAACCCTCAAAATAAAGCTTCTGTCATTCTATTTAATTGAAAAAAAAAATCAGTTTGCAAAAGTATCTATTTAAAAACCTGTTCCTAATTTCATGTATTTATCAATGTCAATTATGGTTGATTTTATTTTTAATGACTCTGAATTTTAAACCAAACTCAGAAATAAAATTGGATATTGAGGCTGATACAAGATTACAATTTTACACACAAGTCTGTTTTCAAATTTTGGTGATAATGTCAATATCTCAGTGTTCTCATAGATTGGTCTTGTAATAAACTAGTTTGGACTCATCAGATAAATTATTATATAATACCAATTGATTTCAACTGTTTAATATGTTGAGGTTCGTTTGCTTTAAAGTTTATCACTGCACAAAATGGGAACTGAAAATAGCCAGCTGAGAAAATGGTGAGTCAATAAAGGATTTTAAGAGCAACGTAATATTTCATGCTGATGGTGATGTTAAAAAAAAATTGGAGAGAGACAAGTCTAAGGCACATTGTGGGGAGAGCTGGTCCTGTGACTTCAGAAAGTAGCCATGGGAATGGGAATAAAAGAATGATGTGGCAGTTATGAAAAAGAATCTATAGAGTTTAGAGACTATTTGGATGCAGAGAATGAGGAAGAGATTAAAGATGATGACTTCAGTGACTGAGCCTTTTGGATGGTGTCTTCGTTTTTCTCTACAAGTCTAGCACAGTAGTTCTCACATTAAAAATGTTCAGTAAACATTTTTTGAAGTATTAAAATACATGCCAAATAACAGTGCTTTGATTGGATGACAGTGCCTTGAAAAGGCCCACCCAACAGATTTTTATAATCCTACAGAGTGCCTTTTTTTTTCTTAGGGGTTTTTGTCAAAAGAAAGAACCTAGCTGTAATGACTGCATTTTTTTTTTTCATGGTGGCTTCTTCTGAATCAAAGGATGCCTTCTACTAAGAAACCTCTCTTTTGGAATATCCTTTTTATCCTATAACTTGGATAGCATATAAATGGAAATTTGTATTAGAAATATGTAGAGAGGCCAGTCACACCTATAATCCAGCAATTTGGCAGGCCAAGGAGGGCAGATCACCTGAGGTCAGGCATTCGAGACCAGCATAGCCAACATGGCAAAAACACAATCTTTATTAAAAATACAAAAATTAGCTGGGTGTGGTGGTGGACACCTGTAATCCCAGCTACTCTGGAGGCTGAGGCAGGAGGATTGCTTGAACCTGAGAGGCAGAGGTGGCAGTGAGCCGAGATTGTGCCACTGCACTCCAGCCTGGGTGACAGAGTGAGAAGCCATCTCAAACAAAAAAAAAATTTTATATATATATATATATATATATATATATATACACACACATATATATATACATATATATATAATTTTACTATTTAACAGATTAAAGAATATATAATGCATATTATAAAATATGTATAAATTATACATTTTATAATTTATAATATATAAAAATTATATAATTATATGTAATTATACTTATTTCAATATATATATGTAGGGAAAAATATTTGTTTTTGAAACAATTACAGATCACAGGAAGTTGTAAGAAAATGTACAAGGAAGCCCTGTGTACCCTTCACCAGGAGATATATTCTAAAAGTATATAGAAATTAATTTCCTAGTTCCAAGGATTTTTTTTTATATATATGATAACTGAGTGAGCCAGAGATATTAAGGGGGGAATAGCAATATTGACATGTTAATGATGCATTAGCTTTTCCCAAGAGCACCTAAGTGTTGCTATGTTTCTAAAGGTGTCCTGTGTGGACCAAAGTCAATGACAAAATCCTCACAAGAGTGTGGAACTTGAGATAGCAAATACATTTCTCTGGTATTTAATTAACTCTACAGAGCAAAAGGCAAGTAAAATCTAGGAAATCACAGCAATCACAGCTATTAGAAAGCATTGTTTAAATGCACACATGCATGTACGCATGCATACACACACACGCAAGCAAAATTAATTGCTGACTACATTTTAAATCTAAAATATGCTCAATTTCTCTTGTTCACTGCATTTCTAAGTGTCTTGGTCTTTTACTGGGTAAAAATATCAAATATTAACAAAGAGATTGTTCAAATTTTTGACAAAATTCATTTGAAATACATGACTAACGTATGATTGATATATGGTTTTTGGTGGGTTCTTTGCACTCAGATCTTCCTCCAACCCCAAACAGCTTCTTTGTCAGTGTATTTTCTCCCTCATAGTGTTTTTAGCCCTTCCTCTTCTCCCCATTAGTAACCAGGAACGTATCTGAAACACATGTGAAGGGGTCATATTCAATGCATTTTCTAGGTCAGTGGTGCTGTTTTACCTTCCATTTGTATAGCATTTTACAAGTCCCAATGCATTTCACATGCTTTATCTCATTTCATTAGTCAACAACCCTGTGGAGTAATTAATATTTTTTTTGTTTAGTGACATAGAAAGTTGAGGCTCAGGGTGATGGAAAGATTTACCCCAAAGCAAACAACTAGTTAGTAGCAAAGTCTGGATTAAGATGCCTGAATTTCTGCTTATAAGTCCAGTGATCACTCTTCCCTACCACAGCTATCCATGCTATTTGTAACCAAAATAACCTCAAATTTTCCAGCATTCTGGGACTACCCTCAGTCAATATTTCAATAAAATGGCTGGTTGCCCCAAAGCCCATACTCTGGGAAACTCAGCCTGCCCAAATTTCTCCAAGACTGATTAGGGATTTTCCTTACAATTTCCTGTTTCTACAGCCTTCTGAATCTCTGCTCTGCTTTGTCTCTTCAACTTGAGTCCTCTTTCTGGAGGTATTGCCAGGGTACTCTGCTCCCCCTACCAAAACGCTGGTGCAATTGACAGGTGCCTCTTCCAAGCTTGACCTGTAGACACTCATGCGTGTGCTCCTCTGTGTTCTTTTTTCCTTCCCAAGGGTTGGAGCAGTCACATTTTGGAAATCACATCTTGAGGATGGCGGAGATGACCTCTGACTGGGCTCATGAATAGTCATGTGGAAGACAGCCGTGCCCTGAACTGGGACACCCTGGATCATTATGTAAGTGAGAAATACATTTGTATATGCCTTAAATCACTTAATTACTATTTTCTTATTCCAACTAATTCAACCTTCATAACAAAATATTAAATTGAAGTGACTTCCTAACCAAAGATAAAGTTGTCTGCCTCAGAGGAATCCTAGCTTTCTCTTAGCCCAACCAGCTTTTTAGATAATATCTTGCATTCCCATTAGCTGTTGTAGGATTTTGTAGAATGTTGGAAAAAGCATAGGCTCAGAGTCAGACCGACATGGGTTCAAGTGTGGGTTGCGTCCTTTTTATGGGTGTATCATTGGACAAGTGGCGCAACCTCTATGCCACAATTTTGTTATTCATAAAGATGGGATATTTTCTTAGAATTATATACAACAGTATGTGTAAAATATTGTATTACAAGTTTTCTGATATATCTGGCACATGGCACACAACCAGTAAACAGTAGCTATACTTGTTAATCATGGAGTACATATTTTAGGTTTCCCCGTGGTAAGAAAAAGGAAAATAAACATTGTGGTTATGTTCTAAGAGAGACAAACTGTTGTGTGAGAGATCTCACCTCTAATGTGAGAAATATGATCACACAACTTACCGTGCTTATTTTCTTGCAAACAATGGTTTCTTTTCATTTTTTTCACCACCTGTACTCTTTCCTAACTTATTTCACATAGTGACACATTCAGTCCTTTACTATTCCAGAAGCTTTTATTTTCAGCCCTGATACCATGTTCATCATAAACATTTCAAACTTTTCATCGATCTAAACTCTGTTATAATTAGGAGGCAGTCGAAAGATCATTGGAATTATTAGTGCCTTCATTTTTCAGCCTCCAACAGGCAAGATGAAAATTTTCATGGAGGAGAAAAATTGAAATAATTCATGACAAGATGGCACAAATGTGAAAGATGTGATCATTATATGTTAAACCAGTTATGGCTGCAATTCAGCCTTAACAGCTTTCCCCCCGCTAAATATATGTTTAGAATATCTATTTTCTATTTTATAGTAAACACAAAAATGTATTAAAAATTTAAATAATCATAGATCATCTTACCATCTATTATTAACATATTTGTCTAATTACTTCCATTCTCTTTCTAAACTCACTCTCTCTCTGATGTTTTGTTTTATCTTCATTTCTGTTCCTTTCCAAATGTGAGTTCATACTATTTAGTTTTGCATTTTTCTTATTTCACTAAATATCGTGTAGTAAACATTTTTCCATCCAAGAAACATTTTTAGGTCTCAATTTACATTTCTACTGTTATACCACAGTAGCCATCTAAATTTGCAGTGAGAGTCAGAGAAAGTTTTGAATTCCTAAATTTTCTTTTGTGCCAGCCCTTCTGCAGCTGTGAGAAATGCTGCTTTTGTCAAAATCCTCTTGGCTCATATCACCTGACCCTCATTTATGCTACAGAGCTGGCAGTGCTACTGGCAGGATGGGGAATCCATGCCATTTTCTGGTGCTTACCCTCAGGGGTATTCTCTGGAAAATGGATACAGGGAGGGCTTTAGTTCATTACCACTAGCAGACAGATCTTTAACTTCTCCTTCAAACACTCATATGAAACACAGATGCCTTTTATGTCTTTTATCTAAGCTTTGAATTACCTTTTACTAGTCTTTCAGATAGCAAGATTAAAAAAAAATCCAAATACCAAAAATCCTAGACTAGAAGGTAATACTACCAAGAAGGGGTAATAATGATAACCTCATAATCTAGTGGCATGGGTATTCTGTCGAGATTTGGGACATGACTTAGTCCCTGAAATATTTAAAACCACAGATTGAAGCATTCTTGCAACATTGAGGGTTTTGGAACCCTCTAGGAACATTGAGGGCTTCAAGCTAAATGTGAACATGCATGTCTTATGGAAGAGGAGAGGGTCCTCTATTGCATTCAAGCTAGAAGTTGCAAAGCAAGTGTAGAAAGGAGTTTTTGGTTTTTGTTTATTTTTTAGCCTATAGTTTATAAGTTCTTTCTCTCTCCCCATAAAACACACCAGGAACACTTATTAAATTCATAACGCTGAATTGGCAACTAAATTTGTAGGAAAGGATGTGGAAGGGGGAGGTGAAAACCAAGGGATTCCAATTAGAAATTGCCCCTGCTACCTCATTCATCTCTTACAGCAAATAATACACGCAGTACTCAGGCTACTGAGGTCTCCAAAGAATGTATGTTTTTGTGTGGTTATCACAATTTAAAAAAATAAATTAAGTCATAAGCTCAGCAGGAAAGTGCTTAAAATTCTTGGGTTTTGTGGTCTTTATTGCTGTTCTGAAATTAAAATAACAAGACTTTTCTTGAATATGAATATATTATATATATATGTATATGTTCTGTTCATGTAAATTGCAAATGTAGTTTTCCATTTTGTTTTGTTATTGCCTTTGAATACTGATACAGTTTGACTATGTCCCCACCCAAATCTCATCTCAAATTGTTCCAACTCCCACAATTCCCACGTGTCATGGGAGGAACTCAGTGAGAAGTAATTGAATCATGGTGGCAGGACTTTCTCATGCTGTTCTCACAATAGTGCATAAGTCTCATGAGATCTAATGGTTTTTAAAAGAGGAGTTCTCCTGCACAAACTCTTTTTCTCTTTGCCTGATGCCTTCCCCATAAGATGTGACTTGCTCCTCTTTGTGTTCCACCATGATTATGAGGCCTCCCCAGCCATGTGGAACTGTAAGTCCAATAAACCTCTTTCTTTTATAAATTTTCCAGTCTCAGGTATGTCTTTATTAGCAGCGTGAAAAAAGACTAATATACATATTCAAAAAGTCCCTTCTGTGCCCCCTTTTTTATTGCATTTTCGGTTTTGGGGTACATGTGAAGAACATGCAAGATTGTTGCATAGGTACACACATGGCAGTGTGATTTGCTGCCTTCCTCCCCTTCACCTATATCTGGCATTTCTCCCCATGCTATCTCTCCCCAACTCCCCATCCCCCGCTGTCCCTCCCCTATTCCCCCCAACTGACCCCAGTGTGTAGTGCCCCCCTCCCTGTGTCCACGTGTTCTCATTGTTCAACACCCGCCTATGAGTGAGAACATGCGGTGTTTGATTTTTCTGCTCTTGTGTCAGTTTGCTGAGAATGATGGTTTCCAGGTTCATTCATGTCACTACAAAGGACACGAACTCCTCGTTTTTGATGGCTGTATAATATTCCATGGTGTATATGTGCCACATTTTCCCTGTCCAGTCTGTCATCAATGGGCATTTGGGTTGGTTCCAGGTCTTTGCTATTGTAAACTGTGTTGCAATGAACATTCATGTGCACGTGTCCTTATAGTAGAACAATTTATAATCCTTTGGATATATACCCAGTAATGGGATTGCTGGGTCAAATGGAATTTCTATTTCTAGGTCCTTGAGGAATCGCCACACCGTCTTCCACAATGGTTGAACTAATTTACACTCCCACCAACAGTGTAAAAGTGTTCCTATTTCCCCACATCCTCTCCAGCATCTGTTGTCTCCGGATTTTTTAATGATTGCCATTCTAAGTGGCGTGAGATGGTAGCTCAATGTAGTTTTGATTTGCATGTCTCTAACGACCGGTGATGATGAGCATTTTTTCATATGTTTGTTGGCCTCATGTATGTCTTCCTTTGTAAAGTGTCTCTTCATATCCTTTGCCCACTTTTGAATGGGCTTGTTTGTTTTTTTCTTGTAAATCTGCTTTAGTTCTTTGTAAATTCTGGATATCAGCCCTTTGTCAGATGGGTAAACTGCAAAAATTTTTTCCCATTCTGTTGGTTGCCGATTCACTCTAATGACTGTTTCTTTTCCCGTGCAGAAGTTGTGGAGTTTGATTAGGTCCATTTGTCTATTTTGGCTTTTGTTGCCAATGCTTTTGGTGTTTTGGTCATGAAGTCCTTGCCTACGCCTATGTCCTGAATGGTTTTGCCTCGATTTTCTTCTAGGGTTTTTATGGTGTTAGGTCTTATGTTTAAGTCGTTAATCCATCTGGAGTTAATTTTAGTGTAAGGTGTCAGGAAGGGGTCCAGTTTCTGCTTTCCGCACATGGCTAGCCAGTTTTCCCAACACCATTTATTAAACAGGGAATCCTTTCCCCATTGCTTGTTTTTGTCTGGTTTGTCAAAGATCGGATGGTTGTAGATACGTTGTGTTGCCTCCGAGGCCTCTGTTCTTTGCCCCTTTTGCTGTCACTCACTGATTACAAATAGAGAAAAGATGTAGAATGAAGTGGAAGTGGAAACTTGGGGTTCTTTTGTGTAGAAATAAAGAGATACGCATGCCATCTTTGGCTTTGTGGATTTACCTGCATAAGACACATGACTTTTTTTTTTTTTTTTTTTGCACAAAGACTGCCTTGGTCACAACACGTGGAGATGAGTTTAACAGAGTTGAGGGCTAAGTGTTTGTAGCACTCAGTGAAGAAAGGTGAGGATGCAGCATCTGCTGATGAACATGCTTCAACATGCTGTGTGGTTCATTTAGCCTCTTAGCGATATCTCTGTGGAGTGTCCTTCCTTACTTGTGAAGATTGAGGGCATATAGAAGCCAATTTTTAAAATAAGAAGAAAAGAAAGAATGTTCAAAGTTGTGTTATCTTCCCTCTGCTTAAGCATGATTAACCACTTGATCATCTAGGACTTTATAAACCCTGTTACTCATCCATTTTGACTGGGATAAATAGTTCTATAATGGAAGCATCAGATTTAGAAGATGCTGTGTTTTCTAATCCTACTCTAGAGGGGTAACATTTGGCATGGACAATTGGTACCTATTTTCATAGCATTCTGGCATTTTGGAGCCAAGAACAAAATTAAGAGATCAAGTCCAACTCAGTCATTTCTCATAGAAGGATGCAGAGGCTGTGAGAAGCATATACCCTGGTTAAAACGCTACCCCCTCACCTCCTGAAATGTTGTTTCCAAACTCCCCACCTGCTGTCTGTCTTTGGAGAATCTAGCATAGCAAGATACGAGTTTAAATCTTTGTAAGAGGCACTTTAATTAGT